TTTTTTCAAATTTGATATTTTATTAAAATATCTTCTGCCTTCTGCTCAGAATCCAAATTTTAAATATTTCTGACGTCTATTTTGTATGTCTGCCAAACTGTCATTTCGATTCCGCCCACAGTCCCTAGTTGGTTGTTCGCCTTTCGCTGTTGTTGTTGCCTGTTATCGTCATATATCCAAATTTGTGTGCGACATGCAATGTAAATTAATTCAATGCATGTTATTTTTATCGTTGTTTTGGGCTTTAAGCGGCCGGCGTTTGCCTGACGTATCTTTTTTTTTTTTTTTTTTTCCCATTAGTTGACTAAAGTAAACAATCGATTGGGGTTGCGCAGCTGAGTCATGTTTTTAATCGATCTGCCTAACCTTCTTTCTCTCTGTCTCTTTGCAGCCTCAATCTGTACGAGCTGATCAAGAAGAACAACTATAACGGTTTCAGCATGAGTCTGATCAGACGCTTCTGCAATTCGATTGTCAAATGCCTGCGTTTGCTCTACAAAGAGAATATCATACACTGTGATCTCAAGCCGGTCAGTAAACAGATGATTTATTTGATTAATTTAGTGCTTGAATTTTAATTAAAATTGAATTGCAATTTTCGCCATCAGGAAAACATTTTGCTGAAGCAGCGCGGCAGCAGCTCAATAAAAGTCATCGACTTTGGCAGCTCCTGCTATGTGGATCGCAAAATCTATACCTATATACAGTCGCGATTCTATCGGTCCCCGGAGGTGATACTGGGCCTGCAATATGGCACCGCCATCGACATGTGGAGCCTGGGTAAGTGAATTGATTGGAAGTGGGCTTTCGATTTTAATTAAAGCACATTTCGCAATATCTGTGCGGCGAGCGCCGCCCACATTCGCCCCATTGCAATGAGAATGAATTTTTAAATGGTTTTTCCCTCTGCATTTGCCAGGCAAATTTATAGCTAGACCAACACACAGTCGCACACACGTTGCACCTATAAATAACTGCGTGTGTGTGAGTGTGTGTGTAGGTGTGGTTACAGCGTTTAAATATTTTATACACAGTTTTATGGCCACGCTGCATGTGGCCGGCATTTGTGCGAGTGTATTTGCAAAAAGAGGGTTAGCCCTTTTAATAGTGGGTCATGCGAATGGCATTTGCCGTGTGCGACTTTTCAATGGGTTTTACGTGGCTTTGCCATTTTTAACCAATGACAGGAAGGTTGGCAAACTGATGACACTGTAAAATTTAAACGACAATAATTATTTATTAAAACGCTACGTTTAAAATACGCACGTGTATCTAGCAACCAATCTAGTCAGCAGAGCTGCGTAAAGTAAATTGCATCATTAATCAGACGCGTGCGATAAACAACAACTCAACGCGCTCTGCCTAACACTCACTGTTTACACTCCTCGCGCAACAGCATAAATAAGTAAAGCGAGATCAAATAAATAAATATTGTCAACTCCCTCCCTCTCACGCTAGCACGAGCTCTGCAATACACACTCTCGCATGTAAACAATAGAAAACACAAGAGCGACTGTGAATAACAGTTATTTACCAAGCTCAAAAACCCACTCAATTCATAGCAGCCGACCTCCTCACACTCACTCATCATCTGTGCTACCTACTCAGCAGCTCTAACATATGCATAAATGAGATCAAAAGCAAGAGCGTTAATGGCAGCTGAGCTTTACAGTTTATCCTAAACTAGCTCAGCAGCAAAATTTCAGTCGGTGAGCGTCTCGCTGGCAGCGCTGTAATCCTAGCCGAGCTATCCACACTTACGTTTCACATGCTGTACTGCATGAGAACATAAGCAGAGATCAAAAACAAGAGCATAATGGCGCACTGTTAAATTGCTCTGTGGTGTAAATGGCGTGTGTGGATAGGTCGGATAACTGAGCTGTCTCTTCAGCTGTTAACACCTAATGGTGGATAAAAGCTTTGCTACCAAGTAGCCCCATACTTATTTGCTTTGCTACTTGTTTGCTTGTGTGGACTACATGATATTTTTTATGTATGTTGACATATTTGTAAATTTATTGTTAAATATTTGACTATAGGTTTATTAAATTGAAAATGCCACAATCATATGTATGCAAATACATACATATGTATATGTACATATATTTATGCATGTTTTGTGCTACACTTCCCAACAGCTTCATAGTGTTGTCAGTGTCTAACAGCTGACCTACTCAAACTACATACTATGTACATTCGTGTATACATACATATGTATGTATGTGTGTACATATTATCCACTCTGCAGTGATAAACAGATCAGCAGTAAAATGCAATATCGCGAACTACCACTCGACATGAAAATGTCTTTCTGTCTGTGCTGCTATCCCTGCAGAGCAGGTAGTTATGGCAAACAGCCATTCCCAGCCAATAGAACGAGAGCAAAACAACGTATATATAGTTGACTCACTTGCTCATGTAATGTCCATCCTTGTCGCACAGCGATTGGAGATCAAAGGCAAAAGCGATAATGGCCGCTGTCAATAACGGTTATATTCCAAGCAAAAGCACTCAGTCGATAAGTGACTCAAGTTCTTTAGTTTTTAGCTGCTTCCTATTCATTTCTGTTCGCCTAATATTTAATACATTTTTTTGCCAAAAATATACCAAGGCCCAAATAAAATTTTAAACAAGAAAGAAGAAGACTCATCTACTCATATTTATTTTCACTAATGTAAACAGCAAGGAAGGAAGGAATGGCGAATATAGATAACAGTTATATCACAATTACTCAAATTATCGCTGATTGCATATCCGACTCAATTTAAGATTAGACTCAAGCAGCCCTTTCGGGCTTTCTAGCTACTTTCTAGCCATTTCTGTTCACTTGATATTTTGCTCATATTTTTGCGAAATCAAATACAATTTTTACTAGAAAGTAGAAGAAAAATATAAAACAAAAAAAAAACATATGGACTCTTATAACTGTGCCATTGGCACTTTCGTTATGATAATGGAAGCAAAATTACAAGGAAGGAAGGAATAACTCAAGCTATCGACTCAATTTAAGATTAGGCTCAAGCAGCCCTTTCGGGCCTTCTAGCTACTTTCTAACCATTTCTGTTCACTTGGTACGAATCAAATACAATTTTTTTCTTTTACTAGAAAGTTGAAAAAAAAAAATACAAACAAAACAAAAAAAATCACCAATTATTTTTGTATTTATGATAATATAAACAAAAATCAAAGTAAATGCGTAAATGGCGGATGTAGATAACAGTTTTATCCCAGACTCAATAAAAGCGCTCAATTCATAATAGACTCAATTTGAAATTAGGCTCAAGCAGCCCTTGCGGTTATGCAATAGAATTCTTCACGTGCCTTCTAGCTACTTTCTAACCATTTCTGTTCGCCTAATATTTCAGTTGATTTAATCTATTTAATCAATCTCCTCTCAAATAAAAAATAAAAGAAAAAAATAATTGAAATTAATTTGTTTTATTTTATTTGAAATTTTATATGTTGTGTTATAATATACTGATCAGAAATTAATTTGATAGCTTTGCCTGGCGAAAGAAACATCTATTTTAAAGCAGGATAAACACATATTTTGCTTAAATATTCAAAGGGAAAATAGTTGCTTTACTTTCACTTGCTCTGATCCCTTTCAACGCCCATTCAGTACTTGACACATAATACCAGGTGGCATAGATAACAGGGGAGGCATGCCCCTAGCTGTCTGCTCTAAGAGTCACATTATTCAACACGTAACCCATTTGCTGCGAGCACAGTAACTCAAATAAGTGAGCGCCCGCATGAGCTTTCATTCGTAAAGAAGTCAGGAGGACAGTGGCTAAAAATAAACTCGGTCTAGCTTTTATTAGAGTCCTTCCCACACACACACACACGCACACGCACACAGAGATAGCCATTATAACTCACGGTTTGTACACATTTAATAAGGCAGTTGTGAGCGTGCGAAGAGCATAGCTCACGATATATTTATATACATATATATCTATACATACACATATACATATTTTTTGTTTTTTTTGCCGCTGACCGGACGTGGTCGTAGTCGGAAATGGCCGCTAAAAGGATAAAAGGATATGTGACGCGGGCGGGCGCCACAGGAAGCAACGTTCGTGGTGCTAGGGGCAGCCAAGGGGCAGACAATATTGTTGTAGACATAAACTTCGAGCCGCGCCTGCCTCACTTGTTGAGTGCCCCTCCGGCCACGCCCCCGCTCGGCTACTGCTTGCTCTACCTGCCATTACAGCGTAGCTCATGCTATCTCTATCTTGGCTCTCGGCTCGCCTCTTTGCCTGTTGCTGCTAATTGGCATAGTGCGTGTTTTTACACTTGGCTGCGCTGCCTTCTGGCCGTGGGTGGGGCCGGAAGGTGGGAGGTGGGAGGGACAACGCGATATTCGTGTGCAGCAATTGAGCACCATTGCCATTTGGCAGCTAAATAGGTGAAGCATAATGAGACAAGGCAGGCGCAATGCACTTCTGGCTCAACTGATACGGAAGTAATGGCTGTGCTTGGAAGAATAAGGGATAATTAATAGGAAGACACACACACACACACACACACACATAGATAGAAGCACTGTCTGTTGACTGAGAACTAGACTTGGCTGAGAGTAGAGCATTCATGATCAATAGTTGAATCTCAAATGAAATCTAATTATGGCTGACACAACTGAACTGGAAGGTTTTTCCTTTTTTTTACAGTCTGTTGAATTAATACTAATTAAAGCTCACGTTACTTAACTAAAGCAGAAGTAATA